TTATAACACTAGTTTATCGTTTTGTAAATACTGATGTCTTCTATTCGTTTTCATTCAGTCATTTAACTATTTATTGAACACTCACTATATGTCAGACCCTGTATGAGGTATATTTCAACCTTCTCGAGTAATATTGTTTGCATTTAACTAGGTTATTCTAGGAAACCAATTATTTAAATAAACTGTTTGCCCCTAGTGGGTAAGAGTTTTGTAGTACTGTGTCAGGTCAATGGGCAGGGAGTCAAGGAAATTCTTCAGATCCCTCTCATGTATAGACAACTGTTATGTCTTTGTGCATAGTGGAACTGTCTACTCAGTAAGTACCTCCCAATAAGCTTTCCTGATATTGAAGATTCCTTGACACATAATTAAGTTTTCTTTTGAAATCATTTTTCCAGTTACTTCATACTTCCTCCTAACTTCTCTTCCCAACTAGTCCAAAATCTAATGGTTCCCAACTTGTAGACCATATATTTTTTTACAGGGGTCCTTAAATCTGTAAGCTCTTTCAGTACTGTCTTTAGAATGAATTCATAATATATCTTGCATATATGTATATATAGAATAATTCTCAAGTATATACAAACACTTGAGATTAATATAATCCAAGTCAATTGAAAAGTATTCATAAACTCATAGTTTTAATGAACATGAGTATGTTTTTTTAATCAATGGATATTAAAACTACAACCACTTTCATGTGACACTTCTGGGAAATACTTTTACACAAAAAAGTGGGTCTTAAGGAAAGGCTGGAAGCATTTCTGTAAATGCCTAAAGAGTAGGGATCTTTTCTTTTTCTTTTGTATTTTCCATAGCAAGTGCAGCACTCTGTCTAAAGAAGTTATTTAATAAATGCTTACTGAATACATGAATGACCCCAAACCTACCTTATCTGCCAAGAATAATCTTGCAAAGATTTTCCAGTCAGCTGCCTTATTTCCAAATTATCACTTGCTAATTTGGTAGCATGTGTCAGTGCTTTAAGCTACAATGAAGAAAAGAGTTTTGGTACATTTCATTCAACTGTTACCATCATTCCAATTCCCCTGTAGATAGGTCTAAGTGTGTGTAGTAGAAGCACAAGTGTATGATTCTTTTTGTGATTACTGTCTTGTCTCCCAAAATTTATTTCATATAAGCACCTTTGGGCAAAACTGAGAAGAACCTCAATATCTGTCTAAGATATAAACATTATAACTTAAACCTTCTAGATAATCAGTTCATCGATCAATACAGAGAAATGCCAATCAATCAAGATGGCAGATTGAGCACAGGAATCTACCTTTTTCCACTTAAAATCCCATGGTTACACAAAAGATGGGTTTATTTGTCTTTGTCGGTAGGTACTCCTCCTCTGATTTCTCTTCAGACTTTATGTACCCTTTATGTTATTAGATGATATTTGAATTGATTGTTCTTGAACCGAGACTCCTCACATTTGATATGAGATCCAAATAGCCATGTGGCTCCTTTAAATAGTAATCGTTTTCAAAGGCTCTTCTTGAGTCATAGGACCAAGAATAATACCAATGGTCAGTAAACCATTTAAAAGTGCTACATATTTTTCAGGCTGCCTCCCTGGCCAGTCAACTCCTACAGTTTCTTTTCAGAAAAACTGAAATCATCCATTGTTCTAATTGGTTAAATAATTAAAGTGCTAAGGGAAAATATTCTATGATAACTTGCTCTGTCCTAAGAGGTTCGTTTACTCTTCAATATTAAATGTTCAGCCCAATAATTTAATAAAATCCATTCTCACCTTCTCCAAAAGCAGCTGAGATAAGTTCTGTTGCTGCCTGTCCTGAAAGCACTCATAAAGCTGGAGCAGCCGAGCGCACAGCACTTGCTCCTGATTGAAGACAGGGTGATGGCTAAACTGCAGACCCACAATGTTGAGGTCTAACTGATACCTTCTCCTTTGACCTTCCATTTTGGTCCTAACAGAGCTTTCCAGATCAGGTGTCACTGCCTTTTAAAGAAAAACATGTATACACAGTTAACTTGATTCTATTTCTTTTGAAATTGTAAGTAACTTTTCCTTATAAAAAGGAGCATGTTAATTGTAAGAAAACAGACACCGAAAAGCAAACACTAGTGATTTGATCTTTCTTCCTTGAAGCTGATTACGCCTTGATTTCATACACTTATCGCACAGCATTTTAATAACCTCCCTATAAATTATTGTTTGTGATACTGTTGTGTGCTGGTAGAGGCTGGACTTTCAAGTTGCAAGCTCCCAAATAATTTGCTGTAGGAACATGATGACCAATGGTGCTCCGAACTGCTGAGTCAATAGTCCGACCCTATGAGGATACAGTAGTCATCCGTGGGCCAGTTAAATGGTAAACCCTTATTAAAACACTGTTCTGGAGTGAGTGTGTTGGTCAAATCCCCCAGGAAATTCCCTGGAGGGGCCTGGACCTTCTAAGCAAATGCTACCTTATAAGGAGACCATCTTTCCTCGCACAGGAGGCTGTCTTCATTTGGGTACCAGGCTGTCCCTACATTAGCTGACGTCTGTAAGCCTTAGATTATATGCAAAATGCTTCAACTATATTTTAGTACACTACTTTGAATTTAAGCACGTGTGTTTGAATAGGCATGTGATTGGTTTTTAGTGATGTAATTTGAGAAGGATAGTAGGTTACTTAGCCTAATTCAGGAGCCTAATCCCTTCCAACAGGAGCCAAGGCTCACCCACCTAAAAAGATGAGCATGAGCTCCCCTTCTGGATCAGCCTGGTGTAACAGGACAGGCCCTCCAGTCTGTGCCGTTGCTATGACACCTGCTGTTAAACTGAAACGACTGCTGTCCCACCCCTGACCTGGTGTGGCAGCTCCAGCAGTTCTTGAGGGCTGTGGTCCCCAGTAGGAAGCCTACATCTCTCCTCCCTACTTTCTCCTGCACTAGAAATCCTCCCCTTTTCCCTCGCTGGGTTGAAGGAGGCAAGAGAACCACCACGAGGATTTTTCCCTTTTCTTTTACCCTTAGCCTGTCTCTATTCTCTGTGCAAGAGCCAACTCCGAGGGGGAAGCCTGCTCTTGATTCTACCTATAAAGTTTGGTAAATTGGTCATCAACCAGGCAAAACCACCAGGAAAATAAACTTTCAGTTTTAGACAACCAAAGTATAATGAACTTTTGGAAATTAAAGTTGCTAAGCCAGAAATCCTGTCTTCTTAAGCGGATTCAGCACTAGTCAAATAACTGTGTTGCTTACTCTCTTTGGGTTCTACTGGAGTGACACAGGCCCCGGCACTTGGTCCTGACCTATTCAGGACTACTGACAGTGGTGTTCAGAAGCTACAGAAAGGTAACTTAGACGGTGGGTACCTAGCAGCAGCCAAAGGAAGTGAGTTTAGCCTAGAGAACAAAAGCTAAAGTTTGGGAGTGACCATAGGCTTCAGATATTTGAAGCGCTATTGCATAAGTGAAGTACATTATGAGTTCCTTATGACCAAATAAGGTCAAATGAGCATGAGTGATCCAGGAGGCAGGTTTTAATTCAACACAGAAAACAATAAACAATTAGAACTGGCTAATACTGGAATAAATTCTCTTGGGAGGTGGTAAGCTCCCTGACACTGGTTATAAGCAGCAACTGACCAAGGGTATTAAGTAAATTTCTAGATCGAGGTAAGTGTGTTAGAACAAAGCACAAATACCTAGGCAACGATGATTCAAAGGCCAGGTAAAAGCACAAAAACATCCAAGCTGGTGGCATGTGTAAAATCTCGGTAAATGTGTAAGACGAGTGCTAGCAGAGGGGGTAAAGGGAATAGGCAAAACTAATGTACAAATAACAAGCAAATTAGACCTGGGGATAGGAGAGGCACAACAAGGCATTAAAGTTCCTGGTGAAGGCAACAGCAAAGAGAGGACTTTGCTATTCAGACAGCTATTATCTTTCCTTCAGTACCCTTGTATTTATTTATTCTGCTGAGAAATCCCAAATGAGCATTGCCTCCAAGGCTGGCTGGGCAGAGTAAAAACGGTAGAGAATTTAGAAAGGAAAAGCTGGCAAAAACATTTGTCTGACACAACTTCTAGCAAACCTGCTAAGGATGCTGCAGAATGAATTTTAATACTCAGTTTAGTGAAGGGATATACACATTTACTACCAACTCTAAGAGTCTATTAAATACTGAAATTGTGCTTGGATGATGCACTGGAGGAAAAGTTACTTGTTTAGTACAGTGGTTTCCAACATCAGAATGTTACAAAGGTTAATTTGGATGGTAGTTAATATTTCTCCAAAAAGTGTATGTTTTGCATTTACTTACCATCATTCATTCATTCATTCATTCATTCGTTCGTTCGTTTGTTCATTCATTCACTCACGTACTTACTCATTAAACAGGCTTCCACTGTTTCAAGGACCTCTCTCCCCAACAGCAACGGCCTCTGATAATTATGTTAAAATATCTGTGCTATATCTTGAGGAAAATAAAAAATAATCCTATGTCTAGCTACCTAGAGAGAATTAACTTTGATATAATTTCCAGTCTTAATCCATGTACACATATGTGTATTACTTGTCCATTCACTGATAAATTCATCCATTACCTATTTTTATAAAATTAGGATTATATACAATTTTTCATTCTGCTTTTTCTCACTTCACATTTTATTTTGAGCATTTACCCATAACATTAAATATTCCTCAAAAACATAATTTTAATGGATACTTAACATTTCATCATAGTTTTGCCATTATATTACTAGACATTAATATATTTAAAGGGTGAATTAATACCACAAAAACATAAGTTATACTTGATATTACAAGAATTCTAACCATAATTACAAATCAACTGTTGTTGGTTACCTTCCTGTACGTGGTCTTTAGTGCTGGATTTAAAGATTCCTTGCTTATGTTTAGTCTGAATTTCCATGAATGTCTAACAGGTGAAGGCAGTGACATGATTTCAGCACTTTCTTCAAACCAACACATTCCCTATCAAAAATATTTAAGAAACATAGTAATTAAATATTTCATCAAAAACAAATACCACATTCTGTCAGTGAGGGGTTTAACTTGTTAGCTGGTGTACTTGCCTCTTCCAGCTGAAGCAAGCGATTTTCCATTTTGTTGCAGGTCTTTTTAGGTATTTTTGGCTTTCTTTGCATATAGAATCCTTCTTCTTCTAAAATGCGTGGCATCCTATCTTTTGGCAGCTTATGTTGGTTGAGCACTTAATAACAAAACCTATATATTACTTTAAAGTCCAAAATATTAAACTGGTATTGACCAAACAAAAAGCAAAAGGGAACTCTCATGTACCTACCACTGAAGTCTAGCAGGCAGGCCTAAATACACACACACACACACACACACACACACACACACACACACACACACACTCTAAACACACACACACACACACACACACACACTCTAAACACACACACACACACACACACACACTCTAAACACACACACACACACACACACACACACACACTCTCTCTAAATAAGGTCTTTTAACCGATGAAGAACAAACACGGAAAATATTAATATTCTAGAATTTAAGATCAGCACTTTTTTCAAATCCTCACCCAAGGATATACTTATTGATTTAAGAGAGAGGTGAAGGGAGAGGGAGGGAAAGAGAGAGAGAAACATCGATGTAAGAGACAACGTGGATCAGTTACCTTCCGCATGCACTCCAACCGGGTAGTGAACCAGCAACCCAGGTATGTGCCCTGACCAGGAATTGAACCCGCAACCTTTTGGTGTGCAGGATGATGCCCCCACCAATTAAGCTGCGATGGCTGGGGCTAGATCAGTACTTTTTATCTGTCCAGCATACAAAGAAGCTATTATCCTTTAATATGATTCATTAATGACTTAAATATTTTATTGTAAAAGAACTTTACCTGGAGAGCTACTTGGCACAAAAATATTTGCCTGTTGTTTTTTTATTTGTTCTTCGTCATCTTCATATTCAGCAGCGTTTACTTCAAGTAAATCTGGGAAAATTTCTTCTTCCACACAATCTTTATCTTCGCTTTCAGCAAAATCTTGTAAATTATCATCAAGTGAAAAACGTTTGGGGCAACTATCATTTCCCGATCTCTGTCAAATACCAGAAAGAAAAATAAGTATACAGGATTGTCTTTCTGACCCATGCCGCCAAGTTCAAGGTCAAGCTGAAACTGTTCCAATGAACTGTCACTGAACACGGAGGGACTCATTGAAGGCTTAATGTTTTACAGTTTGATTTTTCTATCACACTTCCTTGCAATTCTCAATGAAAGATTATTAAAATAGAGTTATAATTCAAGCCCCTCCTCTCCTATGGAAAATATTCTGAGATATTGGAGTATGAAGATATTCTGAGGTATCAGACTATGATTGATATATCAGTCACTGAGACTTCATAGTGTAGGGCAAAGTCCAGAGACATCAGGCCATGTGGTCTTAAGCCCCATTTTTTTCACTATTCAGAAAGCAGTAGGACCTAAAGTGATTGTGGAACACCCCTGATGTTACCTGGATGGTATTTAAGGGGGGGGGGGG